ATCTACACCATCTTTCTGCCAAAACCTTTGATCTCAATACTGGTTTCATCAAAAGTTGGCGAAACTCCTTAAATTATTTTCATTTATCTCCCAAATCTCATCCAATTGATCCAAACGTCGATTTAGGTGAGTATGGAAACAATCAAGTTGAGATACAATTTCTTTTGTGTATCCCACCATAGCCTTCTTCATTAATTGTACTTATACCACTAGTGACTGGTGGAGAGACAAGGTGGTGGCGATTACACCCAAATATAGAACCTATGATGGTTGGCCTCTTGTCTCACCAATTTTTTCGCCGTCACTTTTTGCTAATTGGTCAAGATCATACATGGCCACTAGCTCCTTTATAAACCCACGTGAAAGATCACTTTCTTGTTCTCTCAGTCGTGGAGCCATCAAATCAAACACACAGGGTCCCACCAGATGTGCCAATTTGTTTTCTGACGAGAAAAACTCTGGTGTTTGATATTAATGATTTACACCTTTGACTTCTTGAACAACGATTAATAACACGGTTCACACCTATCCGAACAATGTTCGAACGAGGGTGTTTAATGTTATTGATGGCTGAGAAAACTAAGTTAAATTACTCCTACTCCTATGAAGGTTCAGTGAGAGCTCTGAATACTAAATGGTACTTTTAATTTGCAGAGAAAGGATAAATTTTGACATTGTGCGTTAAATGTTTAGTTGTGGAACCCTTGATTTGTCTTTGTTTTTCCTATTTATAGACATCCCTTGTAAACGGCATGTAACTACCTATTGTAACCGTTGCCTCCCCTGCTTGGTGTTTGATTTAGTTTGCTTCACGCCTTAACTGCCTTGTGTGCTTGCCAGTTGATACCTTGCACTTTGATGACTTCACTTGATAGCTAGCCCCTTGTGCCATGGATGAGTCTTGCTTGGTGAATGAGGGTTTCACGCTTGGTGGTACTCATGCTGACCACCCCGGCATGACATCATACTTGGCGCTATGGTTCTTGGGGGTTGATGGATGCTCACTGACCCCCTTGGTAGCATCATGCCTGTAAGGTCTTGACAAGGCGATCTACCATGAGATGATGTACATGGCTGACACTTAGAAACTTGATAACCTTGTCTACTAGGTACCATGCATGACTACTCATGAAGCCTAGCATGCCCGATTACTGGGGATAATGGTGCGTTGTGCCTACCCCCTTGGCATGGTGTCATACTTGTTACTTGGTGCTTGACCCCCCTTGTGATTGGGTCTCAACACTTACTACTTGGGTGGTTGACGCTTGACTCCCATTGGATGATATCACGCTTGACCCCTCTAGTGGTTTGGTCTCATGGTACCTAGTGCTTGACCCCCCTTGCATTACATCATGCTTGAACCCCCCTTGTGGTTGGGTCTCATGCTTGACAATTGGGTGCTTGGTGCGTCATGGGTTGTGTGTTGATGCCTAGCATCGCTTTATGGGTAGCCCAAAATATCCAACACTTAGGCCCAACTTAAACCAATTTAATTAATTTGGTTAAGTTAACTTTATAACGCACTACTACTCCTTGAAAATAATCAATGTGGTATGGTATCTAGTGATTTTTTAGTGGTAAACACTTGCCGATGGGAATAGCTTACACACTAGTGACTCAGTACCTCGTAGACAACATAGAAACACATTCTTCAAGTGCCTTCATCAACCTCCCTTGTTCATTCTTAGCCCTCATCTTAAAGAAAACTAAATAGGAAGGGAAAAACAGTGGTAGCTAATATTCTTGTATATACTTTTGTAAGTGGTGCATCTTTAAGCCAATGGTTAAACCAAAAGGATACTCTTTTTCCACAGCCAGGTTTAATGCAAGCAAACTTCCAATAGACAGCATGTTGTGTATTTGAGTTCTCGGGATGCAGCCAATGGTGAGGTTCCCTAGTCATCTAGTAAGACGTTGAATGCCTCAATTTTGTTTCTATGAGCTTCCTCTGTCAATATTCCTTCTCCATCGAGAACCTCCACCACCACTTAGCTAGTAGAACATGATTTTTGCATCTCCATATTAGGGATTCCAAGCCCACTGAGTTTCTTAGGCACCTTACATTGATCACAAGATACAAGGTGAAGTTTTTGCTTCTCTTGCTGGCATTTCCATATGAAGGAACATTGTATTCTTTTTATTTTGTGGATAGCACTACCAGTGCTAGGTACTTTAAACAATGAGCAGTGGTTATATTGGTTGGCTTGCAAGGGTTGTCATACTTATATATGATCCTGTCTTTGAGTGACAACAACCCCTTTTTAGCGTTCGACTACAAATGTCAACAGAGCAAATCAGACGGGTATCTCAATACATATACCTTTGACAGGTCGTATCCAAGTCGAGTAATTTATCATAGGATTCGGTTCGGGGAAAGTCAACCCATATGGGTATCGAACATGTATCTCAATACATATACCCATGATAGGTCTTGTCAAAGTCAAGTAATTTATCATAGGATTCGCTTGGGGGAAAGTCAACCCATATGGGTATGTAATTTAAAGGGAAACATTAAAAATATTCATTTTTCATCAAAAAATTAAGAAACAAGTTTTAACATGGTAATTGTTGTTAAATTATTCGAGAAATTGAGGCTCTCACCTATTTATAAACTTATTTGTAGCTAAAATATGAGCTAATAAAATAAAAGTAAAATCCTAAGTAATTTGACTAAAATTACATGTAATTTAGGCAAAAATGGGTCGATAATGTAGCAGGTCGCGGTAGGTCAGGTTGTGGAGAGTACCCATGCCCGCCACAAAACAACTCAAATATGTTAGGTAAAACGTGTCGGATCGAAATTGCCACCCACCCTGATTGCTCAATAAAAAATGTCCATGTTCCCATTTATGGAGCAGAAATTACTGCAACGTTTGCAAGGATGGTTGCAGAGGACTTTATCATGGGCATCAAACAAGACATTGATTAAATCAGTGACATCTGCGCTACCCCTACATGTAATGTCCTACTTCAATCTCCCACTATCTCTCTGTATAATATTGGACAAGCATGTGGCTGAGATTTTGGTGGGGGAGAGGGTGGCCAGTCCCATATTCACAGGGTTTCCTGGAGAAACATGTGCCAAAGCAAGCACACGATGGAGGGATGGGATTTTTAGGAGATTCAAGAATTTAAATTAATTCCTTTTGGCTAAAATTGGATGGGGAATCCTTAATGAACCTCAGTCCCTCGACTCCCTCCTGGCCCAGGTCTACAAAGGAAAATATTTTCCTATGGAATCATTCCTTAGGGCTACGGCTCGCTCACGACCATCGTAGGGTTGGCATAGTACTCTTCATTGTCGCCAATTACTCCAGCAAGAGTTGCGATGGAAAATTGGAAATGGTTGTGTTGCATCTATTCAGAATTCCAACTGGGTTCCTGGGTTGCATCCGCACGCCCCTTCCTGCTATCACCAGGTGATACTGGAGGGAAGTGACCCAAAAGTGTTAGAATTAGTGATGCAAGGGGATGAGAGATGGTGCGATGAGAGGCTCAATCAACTATTTCCACCAGATGATGCTCGTGCCATTAAAGCGATCCCAGTGCCTCGTGAGGTTATAGAGGACTCACTAATCTATCATGATACCAGTAATGGAGTGTTCAACATTAAATCGAGATACTGTCTAACAATCCTGGTTGATCGAAGGAGATGTAGTCGGCGTCAGACTCTGAGTTGGATGGATTGATCTAGCTAGATTTGGATGTGGGATCTCGCGATCCCCCAAAGCTTAAGATCTTTCTTTGGAAAATGTTTAACCGCATTTCCCGATAATGGAAGCTCTGATTAAGAAGGAAGTCCAAATGGCTCCCCGATGTCTGGTTTGTTGGGCTGACTAGGAGACAATGGAGCATCTCTTTATGGAGTGTTTGGTGGTGAGGGACCTATGGGATCACTCTGGATTGGAATATCTATGCCAAAGTCTCCCTCTTCAAAACTTCCCATTGTTTCTCAAAAATTTGTTGCTATTGCTCAATCAACCCCGCCATAGTATTGCAATTTTTGCAGTCCTCTAGCGAATATGGAGATCCGAAAATTGGGTCATTGTTTAGGGAAAGCAATTCCAGGTTCCTACACTAATGAGATAGTATCATCAACTCCAAGAATGGATCAGTTTGCCAACTGACAGAGTGACTCCGACCCCTTGTCCCCATAATGGGTGATTGGATTTTTATAATCCTCTCTGGTACACATGCATGTGGGATGGTTCAACAAAGAATGAATCATACTCGACGGGAGGGATGGTCTTGAAAGACCAGAGTGGTGCGGTTATCTTGGCTAGGGGAGTGCATATTGCAAATATCGATGATCCACCACTAGTATAACTCTTAGTTCTCTGAGAGGCCATCAAGTGGTGTCTGGATTATGATCTTTTGCAGGTTCAGTTTGAAGGGGATGCCAAGGTGGTCATTGCAAGATAAGCCATGCCAATAAGCGAGATAGCCACTCTGGGGACATTCTTGAGTAAGTCCTATGTTTGTTGGCGAGTCATAATGGTCTTACTGTACGATTTATAGGTTGGAGTAGGCGAGTAGCAATAGGTAGCCCATTTGGTGGCTAAAAATACCCTTTCTTTGTACATGACTGCGTATCGTTCTTTTGATTTTCTGTCATGACTTTATACCAGGTTGTGCTTGATCTCAATTTTAATCTAAAATTTTCTTTTGTAGAAAAAAAAAATATATATCGCCAACATAGAATCCTCAAAAACTAAATATATGTGAGATTTAAAAGGGTTTCATCTGACATCTGGCACCCTTGGCAGACCACAATGAATTGGCGGGCCCGTACCGTAGCTACCCAGTACCCACAATTAAGCTCACGACCCATTTATGCTCTTCTTCCCGCAGTAAATCTGCTACTGCCAGCCCAAGAATCAGCCACAGTTAGGCTCGTAAACCGAACGGCCCACTATCATTAACCGTGGATCCGTGGCAAGGGATTAAACGCCGTTATCACCTGAGGGAATTAAACATGGGCAGTGAACCCAAGCAATGCTTTTGTTTTGAGCTTAAACTGGGTAGGGCTCAATCCTTGAGATGAACTATGAAGAAGGTCTAAGGACTCCAAATCAGATAACATGTTGGCAACGGGCCTTTTTACACAGCTCATGGTTTGTTTGAACATTCCCTAGCAAACTATTTTACATCTTTCAATATCGTAGCAAACTATTGGAATTAAAAGAAGAAGAAGAAGCACACCATTTCTCCTCGTGATCAAAATGCCTAAATCCTAAGGAAAGAAGATGGGAGGGTCAGAGTATGTATTAACATACGCATTGGGCCTAATCAAAACTACAACTCATCAGTATAGCATCCTATATGATAAGCTCCTGGGATCTCGAAAACTTGGTCCTTGGTTGATGAATTGGCTTCAGCTGACGATTCCCTAACAGGGTAGAACTGTCGGAAAGAACGACGGACTGGAGGTAGTATCGCCGAGGATTTTCGATCTGCTGCTAATAGCTTCCCACATTTACTGCATGCACCAAGTTAAGAGTTTCATGATCTAGATAAATTTGTATATAAACTAATGATCATAGAAAAAGGGGAGATCTACACCTGCAAACTTTGGTAAATAATGTCTGGTAGCTGCATATCCAATTCTTCAGAAAGAAAAGGAACAGGGAGGTGGAAAACAAATGCACCGTTTAGCAATTAAAATGGAGTCAATCAAGGAAGAACCAAATTTGAGTTCTGATAACCATGATATTACCAAAAGAAAGTACAGGGCAATTTCGCTCCCGACTCCAAGAAAATGCTGCAAACCTATACCGGCATGCTCCTGCAACAGGTGATCACACTTGGGTCTCAGCTTGGGAAGTTAGCATGGCTCAACAAAGTTGGCTTACATAGCTTTTACAAGATGTCTAACATAGAAGCTGTTACCGTGATCTGTCTGAATACATGATAGATGGAAGAACCTCTGGCGTGCATGTAGCTGCCTCCCTGCCAAAACGTAAATAAAAAACCCCAGCAAAGCCAAGTTCAAAAAGTGAAAGCAAACAAAAAAACCAAGTTGATGAAGGATGAAGCAAGAGCGTCAAGAAATTGGCAGATAGAGAAAGAGTGACTAATCCAATTACAGAAATCACACAAACTTATCTGGGCTTCTAAACTACTGCGTATTTATCATCCTCACACCTCTATGCTTTTCTAGTAAGCATAAAAGCATATAGCATGAGATGCCATAAAAAGAGCAGATAGCTTGAGACAATCCAAGGTGCAGAATGTCTGATAAACATGGCCCATATCTTAACCCCACAACTAGAATTAAAGAAGGATTCAACTGGTTAACAGGATATACCTCATCAGGGGAAAAGAATGCAACTGCATCTGGATCGATTGACCCAGCAGGATGCAATGATACTACAGCTCTGAAGGTACAAGGAAACGATATTTCAATAACAGAAGCCCTTTCAGAGGCAACTGCAGCCTGTGGTCCTGCTCTCATTTTATTTAAACTGTGAAAACTTTGCTCTTTTGGTGATTCAATTGAATTCTCATTTCCCGAACTCGGTAAAGAAGAAGCTCTTTTCAACCAATCCCGGCGTTGGTATGTAAGAACTTTTACGTTGGGGACCTCCTTTTCCAATCTTGCTAGGACATCAGCAACAGACTTGAAATCTCCAAGTTCGTCTAGCTGACTTGTTAGTGGTGCCTGACGCCTACAAAGTTTCTTAGAACCTGGCTCTGTACTTTGATCTTCCGATTCATCTTCAAGGTGTGGAAAGAATCTTCTTTTCTGATCAGCAAATGCCTTAAGAGCTAACCTGGAAATCCACATTAACTACTGAAATTAAACCCTAAACACTAACCAGACCGGTGATGATCATGATCGATTTTTTTTTTTTTTTTTTTATGAACATGTCATGATTGATTTTGATTTACCCAGTTGACACGAAAAAAATTAAGTATCATATTTTTCCACAACCCCAATTCTAGACCCTCCCGCATATCAAGTAGCAACATTTCCTTTGAAGATGTAGCACAAATTTGGAGCAGCAATTGCCCATCAACGTTAGTAATTCCAATACTAACCTGGTTCTGTCCACAGCAGATGCACCAGCTTGCCCAGCTAGTTGGCGTTTCCACGCATAAGCAACAACTGCGCCATCTGGACACACTAATGGTATATGCAAACCCCAAGAATTACCCCTAGATTTCATGGAATCGTTGAGAACCCCAGTTTCCTCTAGCTGTCTTCCTACCAAAATCAAGCAAAAACACAAACTTTACCCCTCCTGCAATTTCTGTAAGAGCGAATGGAAATGGCAGGTATAGACATACCAACAGTGCGCAGGTCCTGGAGGTGCTGGCGCATGCTAGCATCTTCCTTGAGCAAAAACTGCAAGGTCTTGTTGCTTTGGTGAGACTGGGCGGCGAAGAACAACGCCTCGAGAAGCCGGTCACCGCCGATCCTCACATCAGCAATTAGCCGCGCAGCCTGGGCTAGCCTGTCCATGGCCAACGCTACCTGCTTTGGCGGGGCCTCGGCCGGCTGACCTGCGCTCGTACTCGGAGTTGATGCAGCTTGAGGCTCCGGCTGCTGCTGCTGTTGCTGTAGTTGCGGAAGCTGCTGTTGCTGGAATTGCATTGGGAAATTGGGTTTCACATCCATGGCGAAAATACCCTGGAAGGCAATGCACTGCTACCAAGAGGAAATCAGAGTCAATTTTGCCGAGGTAAGAAAGCTACGGAAGTCGTGATTTCTGGAGCGGTGGAAATGAGGGCTAGGTTGAAATATGGGTGCCGCCACCACTTAATCGAACCGAAAGGACTAAATTGGATCGCCGGACCCGACTCCAAGGTTCAAACTCGCTGATTTTTGGATAATTAGTCTAAGTGGTCACAAATCTTTGTACTTTTCTACAAAATAGTAACAAAACTTTCATTTTGTACGATTTAATACATATGTTTGAGTTTATAGTAATATGATCATTCTGTTAATCTCCTTCTACTTTCCAAAACACTGATAGTTCTTTCCAGACGACAGTCCCCGTAACCCAAATATTACAAAAAAAATTTACTTAATCACACCATTTAGCCAAACGACACAACCCACCCAAACTCAAGTATCCACCCTACTAAAATACAAATGATCAACCCTTATTCATCACTAGCACCAGGCCCGACCCTTGGTCGGAGAGTTTGATTATTATATATTTTGATTTGTTGTTTTGATTTATAATATGTAATTTCTTAGTATGTATAAAGAAAATATAGAAATGAATAATGAATATAAACAACTAATAGCGATATTTAGAAAGTAAATGTGTCTATTTATTTTGTATTTCATGTAGAACAACATGAGAGTTTTCTTCCATTTACATACACAAAATCAATCTTAATCATAAAAAAAATTATTGTCCATTCATGTAATTTAATAAAATATCTTTTCTCAATAGTTACTATCTTTATTCATCACGGTACGTTATAGATATGAAATTATATCATGTGAAAGAATATATTGGGCACATTAGAGATTGATCAATATATATATGGTGACTTCTTCGGTGCACTCACAAAAATGAGTGCGTTCAATACACCCAACTCAAAAACTAGTCTTAAGGTGCCAGATTTTGAATTTCAATTCATAGAATTAGTGTAATATGATGATATAACATATGATAACAACTAATTAGCTGATTACCCTAAGCCCTAGACCTCCAATTTTGAGTTTTATCCCTAAACCCCAAATTGTAAACCCTAACCCTAACCCTAAATCTCTAAACTATAAATCCTTCACATTAAAGTAAATCATTTAATGGTTTTTGTGCAAATTCATGTGCGTTATTGTTCATCACATCATAAGTGATGATTGACATCATTTTGACATAAATCGCATGTTTAAAATGATGGTTATGAAGCGAGTGCATTCAATGCACTCACTTCATAATTGACATTTTGAGTAGGCGATTCATGTCTAAACAATGTTAATCATCACGTATGATACGACGAACAAGAAACCCCGTGAATTGGCACAACAATTATTCCAAATTTACATTAATTTGATGGAATTATGGTTTATGGATTTAGGGTTAGGATTCATGATTTGGGGTTTAGGACAAAAGTTCAAAATTGAAGGTTTAAAGCTTAGGGTAATGCATTGATTAGTTGTGATCTTATGCTATCATCATATTATACTAATCTTGCCAATAAAAAAAAAATTTGATGTCTTAAGGCTACTTTTAGAGTTGGGTGCATTTAATGCACTCATTTTTATGAGTGCACCGAAGTAGCCACCATATATATATATATATATATATATATATATATATATATATATGTATACATATGGTGCCTTCTACGGTACCCCGAGTGAAATCCGGGGTACCGCATACCTTGAATATGAAAACGCTATCTAGACCTCGAATTAACATGATTTTTGAGCATGATACTATACCCTAACCCTTAATGAGTGAGCACTAGGTCCTAATTATCTAAATCATAGACTATAATTCCTAAGATGGTGCATTGATTTTTTTGCCTATATTTGGACGAATCATAACCGTCGATTATTGTTTCTAATTAAATTGATCTTTGCGTATAAGATTTAGAGAATTAAGACCAATATTTTGATCTTTAAGGGTTAGAGTATAGTATCATGTCCGAAATATAAGTCAATTCAAGTTCTGAATAGAGTTTTCTTACTCAAGGTATGCGGTACCCCGGATTTCACCCTAGGTACCGTAGAACTCCCCATATATATATATATATATGGTGGCTACTTCGGCGCACTCACTTTTTTTGGTGCACTGAGTGCACCCACTCTAAAAGTCTCCATATTACATCAAATTTTGAACTTTAATTAGTACTCTCAATCTAATATGATGATATGACATAGAATCATAACAAATCAATCTATTACCCTAACCCCTTAACCTTCAATTTTGAATCCCAATCCAAAATCCCAAAATTTAAACCTAATCTCTAACCCTAAATCCCTAAATCCTAAATCCTTCAAATTAAAGTAAATTTTGAATGAATTTTTTTTCAAATTCATGTGCTTCTTTTTCATAATATCATAAGCAACAATTGATACAGTTTTGACATGAATCGCATGCTCGGAATGACAATTATGAGGCGGGTGCACTGAGTGCACCCAAAAAAGTGGGTGTACCGAATACGCCACCATATATATAGTTAACGATTTTGCTTATGTTGACAACGTTTCAATTTGTAGATTATTAACAATACAACATTTCATTGTTAACAATATGATCCAATATCACAATTGTTTAATAATGTTGTTTGTTCATATTATTGATGTTCATGATATCATTGATAAATTAATTTATAAATGAATATTTATGTTGATTATGATAATTGTTAACATCACACAAAATGGAATAGGTACTAACTCGTATAATTAAAACTAATATGATAATTGTTAAAAATAACTTTATTGTTGTTAAAAATACATGTTAGTTCGATAAATGGTTCTATGGTAGGGATTTTGTAGAGTTTTTTTATGCACCGATTTTGTATTGTAATCCAAAATATATTAAATTTTTATTTTAATAAGGTCTAATAAAATCGTTAGATTAATCTAAAGGCCAAAATTAGATTGAATTAAATAGTAACCAACGATTAGTACCATATATATTATGGAAGCGAAAATGATATTGGAATCTTCAAAATTGGAAATTTTATTAGAATAAATGAATAATGATTAATGTGTAGCTTGGTTTGATAATCGGATTTATGAAAGCACACCATCTTTTTGTTGTTTGACAGGTGAAAATAGAGATGATTTGGCGTGGAGACGAATTTTGAAGCTTCACCCAACTATGCAGACGTTTATGATGAAGCAAGATGATGATGGCTTTTGGAATGGAAAATTGATGTTTAGCTAGTAGCTACTTAGTGAGTGCAGTTTGGGATACGATACGTCCTATGAAGAGCAAACAACACTGGTCTGCTCTTCTCTAGAGTAAATTCTATGTGCCGCGGTGGAGTATCATAGCATGGATTATGGCCATGGATGTGATAGTAACCAAGGTAAAGTTGATGCGGTGGGGTAAATTAAATGAAGATAGATGCATTTTATGCCATGCTAATAGTGAGACTTGGGATCATTTGTTTTTCGAATGTTGTTTCTCGAGGAGTATTGTTAGCAGAGTTGGTAATTTTCTTAGAGCAGCTCTTGGGATCTCAGACTCTCATATGCATGTAGAGTTGCAAAGTGAAACACGACTCTAGGGACACTTGTTTGGACCTCTATGGTGCTCCTTGATTAGCTTTGTCTGGCAGGAAATGTGTCAAAGGCTCCATGGAGAGGTCCCAAGAATGACCGAGTTGGTAACAGAGTTATGGCTGCGAGATTTCCGCTTATTTGTTTCCTCTTACCTAGGTTTAGAGGTTGGGATAGTTTGTGTCCCTCCAATAGCATAACAATAAAATAAAAAATAAATTAGAAAGTGAAATAGAACCCAACGAATTTAACGTCTAGCGGAAACACTAAAATCAATGCGACAGATTTAAAGCCAACATAAATATTTAAACGAAGCATTCCAATTAAAGTGTGGTAAATGACATTTTGCCTTCCAAAAATTACTCTGGTTGCTAAATATTTGAAATTGAGAAAATTTAACCCATGAATCTACTTCATATTTTATAGATTGGATTTAGAGGATAGTCTAGAACTAAAATAATCAAATATGAAAATTGAAATATCAAGCACCATAAAGATACTTACAGGAGACTTAGTGAGCTAGCTTATCGTTATGCAAAAGTCATTTGTTTTTCAGATTTTAACTTCTTGAATGTTTTGTGATAAAAAGTATATAACGTATTTGTTTAGTGTAATTGGTTATGTTTCTTGTCTTTGTTTAAAGAGACCATGGTTCAAATCTTGGTGTTGATATATTTTTGTACAAAATAAATAACTAATTGTGAAGACAAAAATATCCTTCCTACTTTCACTTTGGTTGCTCGAAATTTTAAATGGAGAAAAATGAACCCATGAAAAAAAAAAAGAATCTGCTTTATATACAGTATAGAAGATTCTTCTCCATCATTCGTCTCTCTCATTTCTCATGTTCCCCATATCTTAAACATAATTTTATAACAAAACTCAAAACCCATCTCCCAATCTAAAATCATGCTCGAGAAAAAAAGACCCAAGTAGAAAAAAGGTTAATACCTTAGTTTGGCCCGAACTATAGACAAACTTTCTACTTTGGCCCGTGGTATCAGAAATTGCTATTTTGGCCTAAACTATGTAGCAAATTTTCTTATTTGGCTTGGAGGCGGGTTTGACCGTCAAATTAGACGGTCAACCGAGTTGACCGTTAGTCAAAGCCCACCTCACTTGCCACGTCAGCTATCAAGGAATAATTTTTTTTTTAGAATTTTTTAGTTTTGTTTACTTTCTAAAATTAATTAAAAATAATTTGGGGAGAATTTTTAATTAATTTTTTTGTTTACTATTAGAAAGTAAAAAAAATACAAAATAAATTTTTTATTCTCTAATAGCTAACGTGGCAAGTGAGGTGGACCTTGACTAACGGTCAAACCCGCCTCCGGGCCAAATAAGAAAGTATGCTATATAGTTTAGGCCAGAATAGCAATTTCCGATACCACGGGCCAAAGTAGAAATTTTGTCTATAGTTCAGACCAAACTAAGATATTAATCATAGAAAAAAGACCAAAGATACAATCATGAGTTCCATCTCTACCTGCAAGTAGGGGTGGCAGTTCGGTTTCCGGTTAGCGGCTAACCGGGCGGTTTATCCGATAACCGTCGGTTACTAGCTA